GACCCCAGGGACAGGGACCGGGTGCAAGGATTAATGCACCCAGCATCCTTTTGCAACTTAATTCTTTGGGCCCAACTCATCCTCCCACTGCTCCTGAACGCATGCTCGCGGGCATGCTGTAGCTGCCACCGTTGGCAAAGTTTGAAGAGCCGCGTCCCGGAGCTTGCAAGGCTCGCTGCTGCTGGGAAACGCCCGCTCCTATCCCCTTGACCCTGCCCTGTAACTGACCCTTGGGAAAGAGCCCCCCCGCACGACTACTGCGCATGCTCTGAGCTGGACAGCTCCTGAGAGGGAAATTTAAAAACGGTTGGAACTGAGACAGCGGCCAAATTGCGGAACGCGAGGGGCGAGCGCGAGGGAGCCCCCTCCGGAACCCCCTCCGCCCCCGGAGCGCCGGCCGAGGCGGCCCCGCGAGATCGGCTCCAGGTACCGCCTTGCAGGCTCGGCTTTGCGCTCTCCTCCCGGGCAGCAACCTGGATTGCATTTCCAGGGTAGTGACCCTGGTGCAGGGCTGCAGGGGTCTCCCTCGGATCCCCCTTGCTCTTTCCAAGAAAGCCCCCCAGTGACTCTGCGGGTGGAATTGATCAGAGGCTGCTGGGTTTCTGTGTTCTTTTCAGGCTTGGAGTTTCAGAACTTAGGAAGTTCGAAGATTTTTTTTTTTTTTTTTTTTTTTTAATAAGGCTGTAGGTATTTGTGGCAAGGATGGTGGTAGTAGTGGTGGGGGGACTGGTTTGCCAGCCAGGACATGTGGCATTTCTAAGGGCATTTCCAGGGCAAGAGTCGTGAGAGATTATTCCCTTTGCAAGTGGGAATTTGGCTGCCCCGAGAAATATATATGACACACCAAGTTTCCTTTTTATTCTTATATTGTAGGATTTTCAAACTGGTTATAGGTGAAGTTCAAAACATAAGTTGGAAGGGAATAAAATTCATCAGATTCTTTGTTTCAAGGGCACATTTTCAAGATCTTGACATTTGGGTTCTAGAGACTTCCCTCTGCCCTTCCCCCTACTAATTCGGAAGAACCTGAAATTTCATTTGCTTCTAAAACCTCAAAGAATTGCCTGGGATCGTGAGCTGTGATGCCCAGGAACGCTCTGTTCTGTTAGCTGAGTTCCATCCGAACTGTGTTAGAACTGTGGGTTTCTGTTCTGTCCACATTGTGGCTGATGAAAGCTTTGTTTTCTGCTTCTCTTTTCCCCAAGGAGATGATAGAAAGTGACCTCTCATCCATAATGTCAGGAATAATTCAGAACTCAGTGCCAAATCACCATCCCGCCCCACAGGAATACAGGTGAGGCTTTCAACAACAACCAACTTTGTATTTTTAATTGCTTAAAGTGTTTATGTGCTGTTTGTGGTTTCTGCAACTATTACTTCACTTCTGTGATTTTTTTTTGCAGAACTAGAAGGTCTTGATTTCAGAGTTGGTCTCTCTGAAGATGTCTGGGCTTGTGGCCTGGCACAGTGTGACCACTAAATGCCTGTAGTTTCTTGTCCCTTCCAAAAGAGGGCCCCTTTGGGGTTAGTCTGTTTGGTCATCCTGATGACAACAGCAACTATTGCTTCTCCTTCACTGGCTCTAGCAAGGGCTCTAGGAAATACTGCCCCAGTCCCACCTTCCCCCAAATAGAAAAGCTCTTTGCAGGGGAATTGCCTTTCCTCTTTCCTGGATGTTGAAAAGCTGTGTACCAGAACTGGCTTAGCGTAGCTGTGTGACTTTCAGCATGCGCTTTACCTCTCTGAGCCTCATTTCTTCATCCTGTAAATGACGCTGTTGAATTAGGTGATCATAAGGTCTCTTCTAGGTCCCACAGGTCCCAAGAGTCAATTAGATAAATTATTTTCCTAATTGAAGATAAATTATTTCTTGAATCGCGATGTAGCAAGGTTCAAGTACAGGGCTGAGGGGAATCTGCAGAGCCCTGCCCTTCTTGTCCTTAAACCTCAGAGCTGCTGCAGTAGGCCCTGTGGGCTCAACCAGTCCAGCCTCCTTCTTTCACAAATGGGGAAGGTGATGCCAAGAGAGAAGAAGCTTGTCTCAGGACACACAGCCACTGGGAGGGAGAAGGGAAAGGAAGGGCTTAGATCCCATCCCTGTCTTTCCTCCTTGGGCCCAAGGAGGCCTGAGCTGGTTCCCAGAGCCCCAACCTCCAGTGTAAGCACCACATCTGGGCTGAGGGGCCCAGCACAAATTAAGGAATAGGGAGATGAGTGGAGCTGGTCTGGGAAGAGCAGGCTGTCACCTCAGATCAACCCTGTTTACCTAGGGGCTGTCCGGCCCCCTGGGGGCACTGCAGCTCCTGAGCAATGAATGCCTGCTGGGGCGGTCTGCAGCCCCCAGTTAGAGGCAGGCTGCCTTCTAAGATCCAAAACGAGGTCACAAATCCAAGTGGGTATTTGCAGACAGCCTGGGGCTCAGACAGCATGTGCCCTATCACCTCAGCCAGAGAAGCTGCTCTGTTGAGCCCCATTGTACAGATGAGGAAACGGAGGCTCTGAGAAGTGAAAGGGCTTTTCTCAGCATCACACAACTAAGATCATCTGGGCTTCCTTCCAAGGCTAGTAGGGTTTAAATAACAATAGGGGTGGGGCAGTATGAGGGTTATCACCCTGGGCTCTCTGGAATCTATTACAATCCCAGCCTCTCTGGCTTGAAGAGCCTCAGTTTTCATCATCTGTAAAATGGGAATACAAGCTGTACACACTGTGTGGAGTTGTAATGACAACTAAATCACCATTTCTGGCTCTGCCACTTGCTAATGCTGTGATTCTGAGCAATTTCTCCTCTGAACTCTCATTGGTTTGTGGAGTGAGAGTAACAAAAGCCAGGGCTTGAGGGTTAAATGAGGTATTACCTACAAAACTGCCTGGATCCCAGCAGGTGCTGGAGTCTGTCTCTGCCTTCTGCCTGGGTGCCCTCTGTCTAGCTGTCCTCCCTGAGGGCCAGCTGCAAGTACTCAAAGCCATGGGTTCTTATTCTTATGGGAAAGAGCCTCTTCAAAGCCCAGAGGAGGTCAAGGGGTCCAGCGGGTGAACAGTTGCCCGGAGTCACACAAGTGCAAGTTCAAAGTCCTCACCTTTAAAATGGGCATAAGCCAGGCATGGTGGTACACACCTGTGATCCCAGCACTCTCGGAGGTTAGGCCCAGGGGGTCGCAAGTTCGAGTCCAGCCTGGGTAACTTAGCAGCAAGGCCCCTCTTAAAATAAAAAATAAAAAAGGGCTAGGAATGTAGCTCAGCGCAAAGGCTCTGGTTCAGTTCCCATTCCTGCAAGGTGGGGGTGGGGTACGATGAGGACACATCCCTCAAGCACTTGCTGGGATGATTAAATCAACAAAACCCGGAGCAATAGCTATATAACCTGTAGTCACTGCTGCCAGCACCAGTTTGTTAGTATCTAGCTTCCTGTGCAACACAGGTCCATGGAGGCCCTTGGAGTCGGGATGGGTGAGGGCAGAATCTCTGAATCCAGGTGCTCAAGCACGGCCAGCAGGGCTCAACCACCAGACTAAGCCCCTATCACATCACATAGTGTCTGGGGACCTGGGCAGATGCCCCTCTCCAAAATCAAACTGGGGGCTGGGCATGGTGGCGCATGCCTGTAATCCCAGCACTCGGGAGGCTGAGGCAGGAGGATCTTTGAGAGTTTGAGACAAGCTTGGGCTACAAAGTGAGCTCAAGGCCAGCCTGAACTGCATAGTGAGACCCTGTCTCAAAAAGACAAAAAAAAAAGGTTTACAAAATCAGAGCGGGGCAGGCCCACAGCTCCACTGGGGGCCTGGCAGTGTGTACCGGTTCACTGACCAGCTGGAGGGGTGGGGTTGGGGTGAGCAGGGATGAACCCATCGCTGCCAGCACTGGATCTGGGGATGTCCCGTGCCATGCCTGGCAAAACCTTTCCTACTTGCGTGGATTCTGGGCTGTTTTCCTTGTCCAACAGCCAGGCAATCCAGAAGGCAGAGAAACCATAATGACAATAATAATTGCGGGTGGCAGGGGATCCTAAGCCCTTTAGTACTTGCCTTTCCTGCCCAGGTGCTTAGCACAAATCCCAGCTAGATCCTCAGAAGCTGTCCCGTAGGCACTCTCGTGCTTATCCTGTGGATGAGGAGCCCAAGGACCAACTCGTTTAGGCGCCTTAGCGAGATGTCCTCTGCGGACGAGCACGGGGCTGGAGCACAGGAGGCTCCACCGCTTCCTGGTTGTGTGATCCTAGGCACGTCACTGCTGCTCTCTGAACCTCAGTTTCTTCACCTGGGAAACCATCAGGGAACCCATGCCCAGGAAGGCGGGAGCACTGCACCCGAAGTGGAGTGAGGCATTCGGCCCTGCTTAGGACAGAGTGCTTTCTCTTGGGAGGGGAGTTTTATGATTCTGCAGCAACTCTCGGCTTCCAATCACCATTTTTCTGCCCTGAATAATAGCCTGGAAGAAGTTTATGGGCTTCTCTTTCTCCTTCCTACAGTCCCCAGGGAATGCTTCAGCCCCCATGCAGCCTGCTTTGCACAACCGCCTGGCATTCCGTCCCCTGGGGCCCTGTTTGGCCGTTAACTTTCAATGCCTGCGTGCAGGGAGGGCAGGGCCAACAGCCGGAGGCAGCAGCCCTGTTCCTGGGGAGCTGTCAGGAGTCAGCAGTGGGCCGAGACAGCAAATTGCTAGCAGCCTCTGTGCGGGGTCACTGACACGAGAGCAGAGGCCCTGGGTCTGGGGCCCGGGGGCGGTCCTGACCCTCGTCAGAGCGCTGCAGAGGCGCACGGGACTCATGCTTCGCTTGACTTAGCCAGGGTTCTCCTTGGCTCAGATGGTGGGGCACAAGTCCACCCTGGGAGGCGCTGAAAAATAATTAGGAGGCACCTGAAAAATAATGCCTGGCACCTACGCAGCTCCCGAGCAAGCGCGCTGGTCCATGTCACGGTCACAGTAACAACCAGGAGGCAGGTCCTGGCACTGTCCCAACCGACAGACAAAAAGTACGGAGGCCCAGACATGATTTGCCCAAGGCATTTAGGGAGGGGCAGAACTGCGGGCTAGCAGCCACCTGCCTTGATATTTGGAACTTAGTCCATGGGTCAGGTCCAACCAGTTCCTTTCATAGACTGAGACACTCAGGCCTCTTGGACCAGGAGGCCCAGTGATCTTCCACGCGTGAATACCTTGTCCTGGATGTTTACGTCCTAGAATCTCTGTCCCTGCCCTAGGAAGTGAGGTGACCCTTCTCCCGTCTGGATGGTGATTTTCTCTTCTGTGGCTTGAAGTGCTGGGCACACAGGAGATACTTACTGAATAGTAACTGAGTGGATGAATGGATGGGACAATACTGCACAGAAAGCATATCTGCAGAAACCCGGGGAGGTCCCTGACCCTATGTGGGCCCCATACTGTATTTGGGGAAGGGATGGTTTGACCCCCGCATATGAGGAAGCTCATTCATTAGTTGTAACCTGGGAGTGGCATCTTCCCAGGAGTAGTAACCCTTGCCATATCTTTACATCTGCCATGCTCAAGGCGGGTAACACTCTGTCTCAGCTACTTTATGGACAAGGAAAAGGGTGGCCTTCCTGGGATCCAGCCTGCTTTTACGGTATTGCAATTCTTACCCTGAGAAACATGCGTGTGCACATACCACACAGCAAGCCCCAAGCCAGCTATTAATCCAGAAGGGAAAGATATTTTTTTTTCTAAACTAATCAAATCATTTCACATTACACCCACTTTGGGCTCAGCAGGGAATTTTTGAGCTTCCTCAGTGGTGGATCATTTTCTTTTTCCTGTGAACGGTTAAAAAGATATCACAAAAGATATGTTTGCTAAATAAACACCCCTCCCGAGGTGCTTTGCCCATTTGTGTAACGGTTGGACTGGAAACAAGAATGGTTTGTGTTTGTGGTGATGGGACAGCTTCTTATCAACCACATCTCAGGAAGGTGGCAATACCTCCGTGTTGTCATCAGGGTGGAGGTGATGGCCCAGGGTCGGAGCCAGAAATGTCCCTGTGCCCCTGGCATGGTGGTCTGACTTAGTCATCCCCTCTGGTGACGGTGGGAGGCAGGAGGAGAGAACACAGGGGGAACTTAGAAAGAAACCTTATGAGAGAGCTGAATGTGTGCTGGGCCTTGTCTGAGACGTTATCTTCCCTTATCTTCACATCTGCCCCCCATGGTGGAATCGTTATTATTTCATTGTACTTATGGGGAAACAGGCATAGCGATGAAGTGACTTGCCTCAAACTAAACGGCCTCAAAGGGGTTAAGGTGGGATTCGAATTCAAATCAGATGTTCCCGCTCCTCTGC